TGTGACCCATTCTATGTCACCTTAGACTATCAATGTGTTGCAACTGTTGGTCGGCACGGCAAGAAGGAAGGCACTTTTTCTGAGCCTTGTAATATTATCTGTGAACAATCTACTGGAAAACTCATTGTTTCGGACACGTGGAATGATAGAGTTCAAATTTTCCAATACTCATCACATAGGAATGAAACCACGCTGCAATTTTTACACTGTTTTGGGAACCGAAAGGAAAAAACATTTAGAAATCCTCAAGGTTTATGCCTCAATCGCTTAAACGGAGAGCTTTTAGTGTGTGACAGCGGTAATGGTTGTATTCACATTTATCAATAACTTAATACTTAGTTCAAACAATGTAGATATTGGAGAATTGGACACAAAACCCCGTTTACAAAAAAAAACAGATTCGTTTTACCCAAATGAGATTTTCGCCATTCAAAACCAAATACTGTGTAGATAATGCATGCTCTCATGGATTCTGAAAACAAAATTTTACAATCAATTTGTAGGTACGGAAAACGTTTTTTCTACAAATTGATTGCAAAACCATGCACTTCCACTGAGATCTTCGATGGTTACTCCATGTTATTGGTGAACCATGTTCGCCATGCATTCCGTTGCAGTCAAAAGTTTACCAATGTACAAATATGGAGAAATTATGCTCGACGCACAATTCTAGGATGCATTCCTCAGGTGATTCTTCATAGCAGTTTTAAAAGAGTAGTTTCAAGTCTCACAGACCATTCCTCAAACAAAATAACTCGACATCTCTCACGCAATGCCATTGAAACGAAAATCTACTCGTCATTCTCAGCATGCAACAGACACGGAGATGAATGGTGGTGGTGACTCAAAAGAAGCATCGAATGCAGCCAGTGCTGCAACTCTCAAAGACGATAGAGAGCCTAAAATCACCTTCTTTTCACATTTGAAAGTTTTTAAAGTGATTGGACTGTGGAATTTAACATTACTCTCTTTGGGAGTTATTGGCTCCATGGCGTACGGAGTGCTGCCAATTATTTGCCAATATATTCTTGGAGATTTGATTGACGACTTTCTTGCTGCAAACTCAAACGCTGCATATCGAGCAGAAGCCATTAATCAAGTATGCATCAAATTGACAATTATTACATTCTGTGGTATGGCTGCTTTTGGCTTGTATCACTTTTTCCTTCAACTTTCCAATCACAGAATTGGAACTGCGTTAAGACAAGCTTACATGGATGCATTGACAAGG